TATAATAAGCCAACTAGTTACTAGAGTAAAAAGTTTGACACCTAGCAACTAGGTTCTACTATACTATGATATTCAACAACGATAACAATTATATATGCAAAACCTCTGAAATAAACCTTCAATAAAAAACCTTCAAATGTCAGTCATGTACACTCTTTTCTGTACTGTGGCCTCATTAATTAATTAATTCATTCATTCATTCATTCCCTACTTACTAAATCACTGGCCTGAAAACTCTAGCTTATGTTTGAACAAATCAATATGTATGTCTAAATGAGAACATGAGGGAAATGTCAGTTATATAATGGTGTCTCTAAATGAGTCAGGCTAATTAACCATATAAAACAGAGATAAATTTGTAATCTGTAAATTTGTAAATGCACATTGCCTGTCATAAACAAACTGTTTAGGTTCTAATTAAATTCAAAAGCTTAATCAACTATGTCATCACTCTAAGCAAGTATATGCAAATTCTTCTCAGCTATCCTCTGGAGCAAATGCATATGATAATCCCTATTAAATACAATATAAATAAAATAAAATTGTATTTGTAGATCCCTCAGAATCTTGCACAAAGCCGAGATGTTTTGATGTAGTTATCTGATGCAGTCATCAGTAATGTACATTTCCTCCTATCTGCTCTGTTTACTCCAGTAGTGCTTAACAGGGCCACTGTGTACCGATGTATCCCTTTCACCTGGGTGCAACCATCTGTGAAACACTTTGAATGATTTTACTCAAATGGGAAATTACTGTTTTGTGCTATAAGCAATAGGATTTCCGTCTTTCTAACAGCTAAATGCTGATTTCGGATTTGTTGTATTACACACTGGATGTTACCAGTCCTGTCAATATTTATTATATACAGTAGCTCAATGTTCTATGTAAAATTGATGGAAGTATTCAAATAAGGTAGGCTTTTACTGCAGAGGAGGATGGAATACCATTATCTCGGCAGGCTGTTGTGATGTTGTCGTTTAAGTGCATGTGATAGTTTTTGACTCGTCTCTCAATCTCCCCCATCAGCATTCGCTCCACAGGATCAAACTGGCATGCTCAGTGCTCTCATCATTCCGCAGTCCTGAAAAAGAGCAACTGACTATGTTTTGGTCACTATTATTTGATGCAATAATCATGTTCTGTTCTCATATTTCACACACAATAGCATAAGCCACCATCTTACATCGTATATTATGCAGACTGAGTCATTCTATTACTCAACATGCGAGATTCTCAATGAGTTGAGTCGTTTGATTCCATCTCGTGTATTTTAATGATGTCTTCACTGTGTTTTGATAACAGTTTTGAGTTCTGGCTGAAATAGAGAGTGTTAGTAAAACGATGTGCTGTATGTGGTTAGCTTTTGATGGTGTGTACATCGTAGACATGAATACCTAGAAGCTGCATTAGCAGATCTTCTTAATTACTGCACATCTGTGTGACGGCTAAAACTGAATACATTTAAATGAACAAACCTGGAGTTGCATTTGC